GTCCCTTTACAAATTTCGCTAGCATTAATAATAATATAAATACCTTATTCAAAACAATTGAGAAGTTTACAAACAGGTATCAAAATAGAGCTAGACACTTGTTTAGGTTAGATGGTTTAGAAAAATTTAAAATTTTCCTTGTGGAAATTGATTTTTCGCTAGTTTTCAGGCGGAACCAGTTTTTGTTTTTTTATAGCAAAATAAAAAATCGTAATTTTCCCCATTTTCCTGATTTTCCCGGTGAATTTTCCGAAAAAAAACATACTTCTCAACGATTCTCACAGTGTGGCATAGAAAACTCAACAAATGTATTTAGGTAAGTACTACTAAAAATAATGTTAATTCTAATAGCTATTTTTCTAATTTATTTCATATTGGCTGACTCAGATCACGCTTCGCTGGAATTTCTCAAATCTCAATAAATTATTAAAAGTGAATAACAGTTCGTTACTCGAGAGAAATTTTTTCATGTGATACCTGACAAATTTCTTTATTAATTTTTATTATTTTTAATTAATTTTTATTAATTTATGTTAATTTTTATTATTTTTTTAATTTTTTATATTTTTTATTGATTTTTTATTATTTAAAATTAATGGCTTTGGCATTGCCAATTGGCTAATTGACTAATATTGATTTTTAATTATAATAATTTAATTTTTATTAACTTTTAATAATTTTCATTAACTTTTAATTATTTTTCTTACTTTTTATTAATTTTTATTATTTTTCATTATTTTTCATTAATTTTTATTAATGATTAATAACTTTTATTAATTTTTATTTATTTTTTTTTATTTCCATTTATTTTTATTTATGTTTATATATATTTTTATTTTTATTCATTTTTATTTATTTAGTTTTACGATGTTCCCCATTTCCCCCTCCTTAAAATGTGAAAATCCAAAATTCATAAAATGCGTCATTATTTACCAATAATGAGTAGCTACAATTCCAATTTTCAAGTTCTTACCTTTAAAAAACCGAAAGTCTTCCCCATTTAATGTCTATTTATTTATAATAAGTAGTTATAATTCTAATTTTTAATTTTCTACTTTAAAAAAAAAGCGATATCTTCATATAAACTTTCCACTCTGTCCCCCCTTTCTCCCATGTCTCCCCTTTCTTTCCCTTCTCCCCTTTCCCTCTTAAAATATGAAAATTCAAAATCCCTGAAACATACCTACCATTATTTATTTGTGATGAGTAGCTATAATTCCAATTTTCAAGTTCCTACCTTTAAAAAAATCGATGCTTCCATACAAACTTAACCCCCCCCCCCTTAAAATGTGAAAATCCAAAAACTCTGAAAGACGTCATTATTTATTTATGCTCAGTAGCTGTATTTCAAATTTTCATGTTTCACTATGTGCTATTCTAGACTATAACCTATCTTTTTGCCAAATTTCATTCACATCCGTTCAGCCGTTCTGGCGTGATTGAGCAACAAACATCCATCTATCCAAACTTTCGCATTTCTATGCCGCGTTTGAGAATCCACATCGGTTGCATTTTTTACATCTCGAGCGTTTTTTTATCCACATCGGGCACATCTGTCCCATTACATATGCTGCGTTTGAGAATCCACATCGGATGCATCTGAGATGTAGTAAATCTTTGATCACGTGATTTAGTGTACGTAAATGTAATGGGACAGATGTGTCAGATGTGGATAAAAAAACGCTCGAGATGTAAAAAATGCATCTGATGTGGATTCTCAAACGCGGCAATTTACGTATACTGAATCACGTGATCAAAGATTTACTACATCTCAGATGCATCCGATGTGGATTCTCAAACGCGGCGATTTATTAGTAAGATCTGGAAGTATTTTTTATAAATTTCTTCTGGTTATGGAAACTATATAAACACAATTCATATATAGATAGAATAGTTAAAATTTTACAATTTTTAAATGTCTACAAGAAATAGAATCCGATTACAACAATAAGAACACTGCTACGTCATAACCATTATTTCTAATATATTATCTATAACTATCAATAAAAAAAGAATAAGTGTATATAAAAAAGATTTCTTATATTCCTATAATATTAACTCGCCACTAAATCCTCAATAGGAGATAGCCAATGAATTAATTCACCAAATAATGACGTAGCTGTGTTCTTATTGTAATAGGTTAGATATTCAAAATGAAAACTCTTATTGCTTTTTTCTGCGCCAAGAAAACTTCAGAAGAAGCACTGGATAACCCCCAAATGTATACCCAATAACGCAGCCTTGAGTCAACTTGTACAAAGTACAATTTCACTAATTGGTCTAATTCTATTTTTTTTTTTTTTTTAATTCATAAATTGGTTAGTGGAGTACTGCCAGAGAAGAAATCTGCCATTACTTCTTTGATGCGACGCTAACGTGCACATCACAGTATGGGGAAGCACCTACCAGTGGCGGCTCGTGGGCACTAGCGGCAGTGGGGCACACACTGGAAAGGAATCCCGGGATTCGTTTTTCCCTTAGGAAAACAAGTTCTCCGCTTAATGAAAATTAAATATATTTCAAAACAATCAGTTGGGACAATAACGATTTCTGAATGTGACCACTCAAAATGCATTTAACTATGTATATGGCTATTTAATCAAAAAATCATTACATATCCACTCTTGCGAAATTTGCGTAAATTTCTCAGAAGAATGCATTTTACTTAATAATTCTAACTTGTTAACGCATTTTAAAGCATACGACTCTGAAGAAAAGGTGTTTGGCAATTTAAAATCTCCCAGCGAAAAATTTCTCATTTATATTTTCAAATTAGAAAAAATATTTATATCTCTATTTGATAGTTTGTCAACTAAGCCTGGAATTTCCAACGCATACCTTTTTGAGATGAGCAAAATAGAATTTGGTCATCCTTGCCAACAATTTGCGAAAATGTACACCATTAAATTATTTATAAGACTCAGAATTTTTTATACTCTTAAATATGCAAACAGAGATTTGAAATCCTCGAAAAAGTCAGACAAAACTAAAAGAAAAATTAAAATTTTATCCCATCTCTATTTTCAGATGTACAACATCTACAAATTTATATCCCATCATAATAAATTTCACAAATTCACAAGTTCGGCGATGTTTTGTAACCTAGGCGGTCGGACTAAACGTTCAACGGTCTCAAGCTCTGCTGAAACTGGAGCCAACGCAATCGTCCGTACTATTTCTTCCGCTGGATCTAGGAAGAAAGTGGTGGGAGCTCTAGGCTATTGCTGCCGCGTACATTCGTATCTGGTGTAGGTTAATCGTTGACAGCGCCCTGCTTGTGACGTATAATCCATCGCATGTATTCATCTCTTGCTAAGCGATATTGTCGTTGTCCTTGTTTTTCGCATCATAATGAGAGATAAAACAACAGAGGCACACATTTACTGTGCCCATCTTCGGAACGTCGCTCAACGCCCGGTCGCCCAGTGTCGTGCCAACGCGGTTTGCGTTGAATATTAGATAAAATAATAATATGCATTGAGGAAAATATAAAATATGTAAGTTTTTTTTTGTTTATTATACTAGGGCACGTGTCCAAGTGCCCTTACGGGCAAACCGCCACTGGCACCGACACCAATCAAAGAGGTGTGAACTTCTAGAATATATTTTTAATAAGAACCTTATTGTGCAAAATATTGGGAATACTCCAACATTTGTTACAAGAGTAAGAAGTAAGGTTAGATATCACACTAAGTACACCGAGCATTAAAGATCTAGTTACAAACTGGAGAGTATCGAGTGAACCATCTCTATCTGATCACATAATAATTGTGTTTAAATTAGAGAGCGACACTTAATAATCCTTCCTCCATGGATGCTCTTTGGTGGAACCATCATCTGCCAAACTTATGATCCAAAGTGCAAAAGATTTATAATATAATAGGGCCAAGTACAGCGGATATTGGCAGAGCTACCCTGAGGCACTTACCACCTACAACAAAGAAATCCGGAGAGCTAAACGTAACAGTTTCAGGAAATTCTGCGAGGAGATTAATACTCTACACTTGTGGCAGCGAGACTCCACAAGGCCCCTGTCAAAAAAGAAAGTTGATACAGTTATGGCGTTAAAGAAACCAAATGGATGCTTCACAGAGAGTGAGGAAAAAAGAGCTCGCCTCTTACACGAAACTCACTTTCCTGGGAGCACACTTTTTCTAATAAGAGACTAAGGTGAGCAGACCCTCAAGAGAGGCCGCTGCAGTGAGCAAACACTTATGCATCAGCAATCGGTTAAAGTGGGCCGTGAACACTTTTGAACCGTTTAAGTCTCCAGGTGTGAATGGAATATTTCCTGCCCTGCTTCAGCAGACACAGGAGGAATTACTACTACATAGAGCAGTTTGGAACTGGGATATATACCAGAATCATGAAGAAGGGACAGGGTCATCTCTATTCCAAAAGTAGAGAAAAATGATACCACATATCCTAAATCCTTCCGACCAATCAGCCTCACATCTTCTGTATTAAAAACAATAGACAAGGCTATTGATAATTATATCAACAGAAGTCCTGAAAAGAAGAAGGTTTAACGAGCAATTAAAGTAATTTTTAAAAAACGACTTTAAAATCGTGCAAATGCCATTAAAAATTAAGTTTTTTTTAATTTCTCATAGATCTCGCTATCATCCTGAGCAACTGTATATGGGACCACTCCTGAGGTATCATCCCCTTTCTAAAAAGAGTCGTAGATCGGACAACGTAACGTGATAAAGTATTATTGCTAAACATACATAAAAAATTAAGAGTTTGATGATTTTTTCATGGACCCCTTTATTAGATCTTGAACAAATATATATAGGACCGCCCCTAGAGGTACGAAAACTTAATACTTGCATCTGTAAGTCCGCCATATTTGCAGATCTGCAAAGTTGACGTTCTGTAATCTCACCCTTGTCAGTGACTAATGACGTCACACGACACGTTTGCGAACGCACCTGAAAATCGTATAAATTTTCGAACACTACTGGTTGTCAATTGTCACAACGTCATTTGTCAAAATACCAACATTCAAAACCATAGAAAAACTGAAACTTCAAAACACAAATTTGACTCAAGCTCGAGATGAATGAATGTAAACAAATAGCCAAGTAAGGATTAAAAAAATTATTTATTCTTCAATGGATTGATAATGAATAATTTGAAAAGCGTATCGGTGCAAGTAGTAAACAGCGATTTAGCTTTGCTGTTACCTAATGGTGTTTACGAAATCAAGCAAATGGAAAGCAAGTCCTCCAGATTAAAGCAGATATGCCTTTTTTGCTTGGCATTGTGTATTTTTGGTATATTAGGATTTGGTTACTTTTGTCCAGATAAGGTAATATATCTTTGACGCGCATTGTTTTTAGTATAATAACTAAAACTCGATATTAATATTTTCATTTAAAATAGCCTGGCGGTCCCTTTAAAATCTAAAAATAAGCACAACCGATTTAGGATATTATTTTATGCACTTAATTAAATTTATATTGTATACGAATTGTATTTGGGTTTAGGTGTGTGCCCTAAGTTCTAGAGAAACAGTTTATATTGAAGACAGCATAGGAAAACCATTAGCTCAATCTAGGACTAAAGTAGGTTTGAGCTACGATGACATGTTAAATGATGATTTTACATTTGATATGGACTCGCATGATGTTATAGTATTTTTACATATGCAGAAGACAGGTATGCATTAATTATTATTTGTTTTTATTTTAGTTTTAGGCAATTTTAAAAATTTAAATGTGACATATTTGTTTATTATACTTAATACGTATTCCTTTTACAAGTACAACATAAGTAAAGGTAACTAAGTACTAGGAAAATTAGAAATTAACAATACAACACTAACATTTAAAAATATAAGATCAAAATATTAATAAACAAAGTAAAAAATATTAAATGCAGTTTATAATTAATAAATTACATTAAATTACACATGACTACAAACAATCCTAAATAATAATTTGGTGTGAATAATAATTTGTTATCTTGATTAAGATATTTATACTGTCAGATATAATTAATCTTTGTTGTACGGTGCAGGGTGTATCCCAGAGACAAAATGTTCATGATATTTTAGTAAAATTTCAATTTTTTGCTTTGCCGATTTAATTTATTGTCATTAACACCTTCTTATTATATTTTTTAGTGATTTACTAAAATATATCTTATAATTGAAGACACAAGTGGATGAAGGGCCTATATAGCAAAATAATTTTCACGAGATATTTCATGTTAAAGTTTATTGTTTGGCAGTTATTCCCTAATACATGGGTCCTTTATCCACTGGCAACTTATATATTTGATGATATAATGTCACGGAATACATTTTAAATGAATTTTAGGTACATAAGCCCTTCATTCACAGAAAAACATAATTTAAAAAAAAATGTTACGTATGCCCTTTATCCACTTGCGTCTCCAATTATTATGTAAACAAACCGTATTTCGAGTTATACTTTTGAAACAGAAAAAAACATGCATAAAACTCTTAGGAGTTATATTATTGATGATTTTCCTGAGTTGGAGAATACAAATGTACCTAGTAGAACTTCAAGAAATAGAGCAGCCTACTCTCAAGTTCTGGTATTTATGCAGTCAGAAAAAAGATAAAAAGTGCAGACAAATGTGCTGCAAGTGCAACCGTTTTGTATGTGTTTTAAACTCTAAAAAACAAATTATTTGTGAAAAATGTCAATACTAAGATTATTTTTTCATATTTTTTTTTTATTATTATAATAATAATAATAAATGGGGATAAAACACTATTACATATTGTAAAGTGTAACACTTCATTTAAAAATCTAATTTTGTTAGTAATTCAGTTCAATAGTCACATATCTCAGAAAATTTATGAATGATAAAAATACTGATTACTCTCTGTGGAAAGCGACTAGGAAACTTAAACGTCCAATAGTCCATATGCCACCAATAAAAGAAGACAACGGAAACTGGACAAGATCAAATAAACAAAAATTTAACATCTTTGCAGATCATCACTGAATATTTATTTTCTCTTGCATATATAAACTTCTGTGACTCTAATGAAGTAATTTGTATTCAAGTAAAGTAGGCATAAGGATTGTTGACTTTAGGTATCAGTTTATTGCTGTGTGCTTTGAATATACATCCTGAATCAACGAATTTTATTGTTTCAGTAAGTAAAAATCTATTATAAAATAAAATAGGAAATATTTTATTGCATTAAAAACATTGTTGCTCATTTTAAAAATATAATGGCTATAGTGTGGGTATGCAAAGAAAAATTCAGCATATAAATTATTTAATCAAGTGTAGAAGACTCCCTTTCAATAGTAAAAAGTACAGCTGCATCACAGCAATATATACAAAACACAAAAGTGTCATCAGCCGTTATACTCACGCCATGCGCCATATTGTAGAGGGCCCAGAACTTCTCTTAAAATTGGTGATCAGTAAAATTTTCTGGAACTCTGGTATGTTGTTGTACTCAACCTATAACTAAAAGTGTTAATGGGTCCAACTCAATCTTATGACTAGTTTTCGATATACAGGGTGTTAAAGTTGAAAATTGTGAAATTTTTCGGAATTTTCATTTTCAAACTTACGAGCTAGATTGAATTTTTGTTGCATAAACACGTTTGCTATATGTTTTACTAATACATTAAGGCTAAAGACACACACGGCTGTTTCCACCGAGTCGGCTGGCCGCCTCTGCCAAAACACACGAAGCGGTTCACAAAAGTATTGCATTTGAGTCGAGCGACGGTACGCGCGGCGGTGCAGCGTCGCTTTCTCGCAGCGCAGTATAGTGTGAATAACTCCATTTATTTACATTACAGCATCCGCCGAGGCGGAAACAGCCGTGTGTGTCTTTAGCCTAATACACACAATTAAACATTTAGGTTAAAGACACACACGGCTGTTTTGCCACCTCGGCGGATGCTGTAATGTAAATAAATGAAGTTGTTCACACTATACTGCGCAGCGAGAAAGCGACGCTACACCGCCGCGCGTACCGTCGTTCGACTAAAATGCATTACTTTTTTGTGAACCGCTTCGTGTGTTTTGGCAGAGGCGGCCAGCCGACTTGGCGGAAACAGCCGTGTGTGTCTTTAGCCTAATTGTGACCCTCGATTTGAAATTCTACTAGAGTTGGTGAAAATAAATAAAATTTGGTTATAAATGACTGTTTTCTTAATTATATCTTGAAATATTAAATTACAAGTTAGTAATAGTACGTAAAATATATAGGATATAGGAAAACTAAAATGTATTAAATAGAAAGTGTATAGGGACCGTGCGTCATGACTTTAACGCTAACTGGTGACAAAAATTTGAACTTTGTGGGGGGTATTTATTAATATTTTATACGGCATTTATTGTTTAATAATTATTAATTAAATAAAGTCGAATTATTTTCGTAATATCATTATCGAAAAAACTTGTTGCATCCGTGGATGTACGAACCGTTACTTTGGAAACCAGGATTTCATTCGATAGTAAAGAAATTTTATAAAGGACCCCGCAATAATCTTATGGAAATTGGGTTTCTGTCAAATTGTCTGAATTTTTGATATGTTGTAGATTTTGTCATCTTGAACAAAAGTCTCTATGGACACAAAGTACCAAAATAAATATTTTGGCAGCTACGGAGCTGCCAAAGCTCCTCTGATCCGTTGCAAAACTATTCATTTTCAATACTATTTACAGATGTCAAAAGCATATTTTAATTAGGCATTCCAAACTGAATGACTACCAGTGGGTTTTGACAGGTTATGATGTGGCAAAGTTATGGCAACTCTGTAGGCCTGGTGATTTGACAAGGTGGGTGAAATAGATAGTTCATAGATTGATCATCCCTATTTTTTAAAATAAACATAAGCTTATGCCTTGAAGTAAAAATATAAGCAATTATTATTTTTTAAATATCTAAAGTCTTAAAATTGGTTTTAAAACACATTTTTGCTAAACTGATTCAAATTAATAAATATTTGCCAGGCAATATGACTGCTCGCAAACGACCAGCTTTGAGCAATGTATATAACATATATGTATCATTGACCCTGTTAATGACAACATGACAACAGGGTTGCCATATCTAAACTGTCAGTACCCACTGGTAGCCATTTGGACAGGTCGTTGGAATGCCTAATTATTCCAATATATAGGGTTTTGTTTTTGAGGTCACTGGATTCAACCCTCATGTCAGATTGGACAAATTGACCGTTGACAGCTGTCAATTCACGGTCAACGAGGAATATAAAAGTAAATATCCACTTTTCACATTGAGAGTTTGGGTTTTTATGGTCGCTAAATTCAATTCTCATGTCAGATTGGACAAATTGACAGTTGACAGCTGTCAATTCACTGTCACCGAGGAATATAAAAGTGAATATCCTCTTTTCACATTGAGAGTTTGGGTTTTTGAGGTCGCTGAATTCAATTCTCATGTCAAATTGGACAAATTGACAGTTGACAGCTATCAATTGAGTGTCAACGAGGAATATAAAAGTAAATATCCTCTTTTCACATTGAAAGTTTGGGTTTTTGAGGTCGCTGAATTCAATTCTCATGTCAGATTGGAAAAATTGACAGTTTATATTCCTCGTTGACAGTGAATTGACAGCTGTCATCTGTCAATTTGTCCAATCTGACCTGAGAATTGAATTTAGCGACCATAAAAACCCAAACTCTCAATGTGAAAAATGGATATTTACTTTTATATTCCTCGTTGACCGTGAATTGACAGCTGTCAACGGTCAATTTGTCCAATCTGACATGAGGGTTGAATCCAGTGACCTCAAAAACAAAACCCTATATATTGGAATAATTAAAATATGCTTTTGACATCTGTAAATAGTATTGAAAATGAATAGTTTTGCAACGGATCAGAGGAGCTTTGGCAGCTCCGTAGCTGCCAAAATATTTATTTTGGTACTTTGTGTCCATGGAGACTTTTGTTCAGGATGACAAAATCTACAACATATCAAAAATTCAGACAATTTGACAGAAACCCAATTTCCATAAGATTATTGCGGGGTCCTTTCCACAGAGTAAAATTAGTGTCTCACAGCCAATGATATACATAATTACATAGATTGCTTATCCATATGTAAATCAGACGACGAAAAGCGTATTTCACTGGACAAACTTTTTTTTTATCTAGCTTGTATCAATTTTGAGCACTTAGTTGTAAAGAAATTATTTACAAAACCGGTTTAGAAATTAGAATCTTTAGTGTTTTCTTGGCATTCAGATTTTTACATATTTAAATGAACATTTTATATAAATATAATTTTACAGATAATTAATGGTTTATTCTGTTGATTAAAACTAATGTAGAATGTTACTTGTGAAATAAGTATGTCCAATTTGACAAAAATATCATAGCCCTCTTTACAATTTATTAACTATTTCTCATTTATTACTAAAATAAACAAATCATAAATAAAACATTGCAAGTACTGTCAAAAGATATTGCAACAAACTTTAAAATATTAAAAATCCAGTGATTTTTGTAATTTTTTTTAGTGACATTACCATTAAACATTATTCAGAATAATATATGTGTCCAATTACAACTCTTACCAAAGTTGTTTATATCTTATATCAAAGTTGTTTACATTTCCTTTTCAAAATTGTATTACATATTGCAATTATGTATTTTATGTAGTGTTATTTCTGAAATGAGAGTGGTCTAA